TCACCACTGAAGACAGTGTGGTTTGTAGGATACCTATCTTCCAGCAAAGACATTGCACTGGTGTTCAGTTTTCTTATGATATTGATACAAATTTCTACACACCAGAATTTGTTAAATTCCTCTTGGTCATCTTATATTCTCATGGTCTGAGTGTACATTCATTTCAGAGGCAAAATTCCACGTTCAGTTAGTAGATTTGCTGTGTGTGAGGACTGAAAACAGTGTTAATCACCTTGTCAGAAAAAAATATATAGAATTTTATAGTTTGCAGTCTTTATTAATTACTGATTAACACTTTATGTCAGAGCAGTTATTAATCTTTTCTTCTGGGGATTTGTGAATAATCAAAAAGGACACAAACTGTATCTCTCTCAAACCAGTGTGAGAACCCAATACTTAACTTCTGTTGCCAAAATAAAATGCAATTCTGATTTTTCTGAGCAGCAACTATTAGCTAATTGTGATAAATATTTAAGCTATGTTTCCTAATAAATTATCTTTTCAATTTAACATCCTTTGGAGATTAAGTAGTAATGACAAGTGGTAAATATTTGTGTATTGTGAAGTCATTACCAAATCATTGTGTGATAATCTCTCAAGAAGTGTCAAGAATTATTTCATCTATCCAACCACTGTTTTGTTATAGCCCAGTGTGCTGTGTGATGGTTCTCAGCTTACTTAGCTTTATGGCAGAATGGAACAGAAATTTAAACAAAAAAAAAAAAAAAAAATTGAGCTTTTTTTTGAAACGTCACACACCAAAACTTGCTTTAAATTTCCTCAGGTTCATATTTCTTAGCATGAAATTCCTTACTTTTTAGTACTGAGATTTTTCCAAATGAAATGTCAGGATTTCTGGGTTCACCTGTTGGTAACAACACAAGTTGTTTTCTCCAGTTGCTATTTTTCCTAGACTTGGGGGGAGTATCTGAATTCACCTTTGAACACTGTGCTGTTGTGCAGAATATTTGCAGCTCACTGAGTAATCAGTGGCTTTGTCCCAATATTCACAGTATTTCTTGGTGGTTTAGGTAATGAAGCTCATGTAGGATTCAGTGTATTAACTCTTAATTAAAAAATGGTTTCAAATTAAGTCAGTGATGGGATTAGATTCCCCAGAATGTAAAGATACAGAAGCCAAATGTAGTCCTTTACCAAAACAGAGGTCTAGTGTCATAAAATACCTTATTTTCAATTCAATATATAAGTCACTACTAAAATTATGTTAATGTATTGCTCAGGTTACAAATGTAAATCTATGCAAGAAGCCCATGAGATTCAAGAGTTTAATGTATTTATACAGTTGCTAATTGGAGCTCATGGTAGATCTTAACACAAGTCTCTTATTTTCCTTTTAAATTCAAGATTGTTCACATGTAGCATGTAAAAGGTTGAAGCTGTTCTAAGATCATTTTCCATTCTTTGATTTTTCTTTACTTATGCAGTGCAAGGGCTGAGTAAGTATTTGTATTTTTATTACATAAACTGGGTGAGGTTTTTAATTTCATTAGAAACTGGCAAAGCAAAAAGGAGAGGACACATATGTCTGGGTGTTAGAAATATTTTGACAGGAAAATCCAAGGAGAACTTAGAAATTAGAGCAGAGGAGAAAAGACAGATTTTTTCCCTAATATGGAATCCAGATGAACCAAGATTGATTTGATTAATAGTAGTAATGATAAAATTGTGGTACATTAAGAACTCAATCCAGTAGAAACACACAATATTAATTTCCACAGGGAAGTTTGAGCATCCAGACTGTGCATATATTTGTGTGGGTAGAATACCAAGCTTTATGCTCAGACACAGAAGATGATGATGCATTTTTGAACTGCTTTGTTTGTAAAATAAGTATTTTTAAACACGCGCAAATAATTACTCAAAGCTCTGTACATTCTGAAAAGAAATTAGTAGGACAAAGCAATCTTTTTCCATAATTGCCCTTCCCAAAAGCTAGTGGAGCACATGTATAGTTCCCATTGACATACCCAACTAGCTCTGTGGGGTTTCTTGACATGATTTGCAAGTACACTTTGGGTGAGCCCAAATATTGCAAGTCTGCACTTAAAGCAAATGTCTGTCTCAAACAGTAGCACAAAGTAAGATATAGAATGGATGCCCAGCACAGCCTGCACAACAGGGTTGCTACCATGTTGTTAGAATAATTATATTTTGGCTGAACTAACTAATTTAGAAAAACTGCAGTACATCTACCAAGACTGAAAACTTTCCAGGACTGGGTTGGGTTTGTTGGGGTGGGTTTTTTTTTCCATTTTAGTGTAATTTAAAACAATACCTCTTCCAGCTGCC